TTTCTGTAAATTTTAAGACAGGGTCTCACTAAATCTCTAAATTGCCTGGGCTGAGCTGAAACCTAGGATCCTCCTGCCTCAGTTTGCCAGAGTACTGGGATTAAAATTGTGTGCCACCATGCCTGGCTTTTTTTTTTTTTTTTTTTTGATGATCTGCCAGGTTTTCATCAGTCAAGAAGTTGCAGCTACAGAGCCACTACACAAAGGGATGAGAGCACTGATGAAGAAACAACTTTGCTAAGTATCTAATTGTAAATAATATAAATTCATTATTTAAAAATCAGGGCAAGCCAAGTGTGGCATTGCACTTCTGTTAATCGCAGCACTAGAGAGTATGAGGCAGGAAGATTGCTGTGAGTTTGAGGCCACCCTAGGCTACAGTGATTCAAGGCCAGCCTTGTACAATACTGTCTCAAAAAAAAAAAAAAAATCAGGGCAAAAAGAATGAAAATAAATTTAGAATTTATTATCTGGAGATCTTCAGTATTATTATTTCAAGTGAGATTATATACTCTCATCAGTTGATGCTCACGTGCTAATTTTCAGTTCTTACAAAATGCTTCTGATTGATAAACCTAAACTGTCCAGATCACAAGCTGGGACATGGGTAAGGCAATGGACACAAACAAGTGTTGATCAAGCTCTTTGGAGATTTGGGCAAATTAGAGAATGAAAACCACAACAAAAGTGGGGAAACTTAGGAAACGTGTCACACTGAAGCATGTGGCTAACCACTCAGTGCAGTTTCCACATACTGATGTTTGCAGAGCAGGGCGGAGAGGGCATAAGCAACATTTTCATCTTTTCAGCATGTCACCCCACATATGAATGTCCAGGTGTATTAAACCGATCTAGACATGGCCTACACTGCCACCCACACCAGACTTTAACACCATACATCCTTTTGTGAACCAAGCAAAAGTGAAGGCTTCAAATCATTTCATCTGACTCAAAATGTCAACTAAGATCTAAAGAGATGCTTCTCAAAGAAGAAAACCAGAAGTCGATCAGTAAAAATGAAAATAAAAGAGTTCTTATTCCAGTGATACTATATTTCAACTTTGAAGCACTATAATTTGGGGGCAAAGGTAATGCAGGCATTTATTCTTGTAGGTCATCTCAAGAGATGAGGATATAGCTAAGCCATTTATTTCATGGGTGCCAGTCAACAGTGAAAATAGGAACACTTGGTATCTTAGAACTCATCATACCATTTCTGGAACTGCCATGCTTTGTTCCAGAAATACTGTATCACTTAAGGAACTTTCTATTCCTAGATAAAACTATCAGTTTGTATACTTTTTTAGTAGATAATGTAGTAACCAATGTGGACACACTTTGCTGGGTAGTAAAACCAATGAGACTGGAGAAAACACTAGCAAAAAGATGAGGGTCAAATCCTGCTGTAAACCAGGGATGGTTGTGTTCCCACAACCTATAATCTCAATATTCTGGGAGTCTGAAGCAAGAGGATCAGAAGGTTGACTTCTGCCAGGGTAAGTTAGTGAGACTCAGTCTTGAAATACAAAAATAAAAAGGGCTTGGTGTATAACTCAGTAGTAAAGCAACCTTGAACTCAATACCCAGTACCGGGGGAAAAATCCTAATGTAGCCTCAGACAGCTATGCAGCCCTGATCAGTGCCTCTCTGAACATGTCTTCACTGTTCGAAAAATGTGAATGTCGACACAACCCACTATGTAGGTAGGCTGCGGGCATGTCCAGCACAAAAGCAGGCCTTCAATAAGTGGAAGACCATATGAGTCATCATTTGTATAAAAGTTCATCCAAGATACGTATGATTATAATAAAAAAACTAGAAGTATTTAGTTTTGAAAGCCAAAAAGCAAATTTGAACACCTATTTCATTTGTAAGATGTTTGTTATTAGGCTAGCAACAATGGGGCTGGGGATTTAGCTCAGCAGCATAAGTGCCTGCTTTGCAAGCAGGCAGTCATGAGTTCGATCCCTGGTACCGATAAATATGAAAAAGACAAAAAAAAAAAAAAAAAAAAAAAAAGAAGAAAAAACAATCTCAAAGAAGGCTGGAAGTGGTCACATGTTTAAAGGGTTGCATTTCATTATATGCGAATTATACCTCAATAAAGCAGATTTAATGAAAGAGGAATTTTGCAGTACATGAACTGTCAAATGCCCTGCAAGTATAAAATTCCATCGTCTTCCAAAATGGACTGATTTGCCCAAGGTCACAAGCTGTGCCAAATTATCAGCTTTGAGTTTATCACCACATCCACACTACTGAGAACATTTCAGAAGTATAATGATTAAATGTATATTTAATTCTTACTGAAAGTGCAAACATCTATATACTGATAGTCTATAATTAGCGTTTTATCAAACATGTTTATAATTTCTCATTACAGACTAACTAAAAGTGAATGTTATTGAATAACATGCAATCAAATGGAAATATGGCTATATTCTTTGTAGGCATGAAAAACAGGTTATAAAACAGAATAGTTCAATTTTGGTTTTCTTTTTTTTCCTTTTTTTTCCTTTTTTTTTTCTTTTTAGTACTGACAGTCAACACAGGGCCTCATGACTGCTAGGCAAGCACTCTACCACTAAGCTCTACCCCAACTCTCTATTGCTAAGATTTTACCTTGAGACAGGGTCAGGCTGGCCTTGAATTTGCAATCCTCCTATTCAGCCTTCTCACTAGCTGAGATTAGAAGTATGTGCCATCACATACCTCTTACATGGCTATGTACAGAAATTTTGGGGTACTGAAAATTGAACACAGTGCCTTCACACTGAGTTATATCCTCAGTCCCCTTTTAAAAAAAACAAAATTCGTTTTTGTTTCTTTTTTGAAAAGGGTCTCACTATGTAGTTCAGGCTGATGTTGAACTCATGGTAACCCTCCAGCATGCTGGAATTACAGGCATGGACCATCATGCCCAGCTTTTTAAAACTTTGGTTTTTATTTGAGATAAAGTCTTGCTAAATTGCTTAGGCTGCATTCAAACTTCTAATCCTCCTGCCTTGGCCTGTCAGAATGCTGGTATTACAGGTATGTACCACCATGCCTGGATGGAAACTGGTTTTTGGAAAGTATTTTTTGAAGATATTAGATTAGTAAACATATAACTCTAAGGGATGGTTTATGGATGATTCGTTGTTTTCTTCTTTTTTGTGACTTAGCATTAGTGTGTGTGTGTGTGTGTGTGTGCGCACATGTACATTTCTGCCTTTTTTTAGTGTTGTTAGAGATCAAACCCACGGCTTGATGTATACAAGCTGTGGGTACTGCTATTAACTCAGCCTTGTCTACATTTTTAAACTTAAAAAAAAATGAACAGGTTTTTAAATTCTATAATAAGGACTTTAAAATAAAATAGATTAAAATATTACAAGTAGAGATCACAGCAATGAGAGTAGAAAATGTTATCAGTGGGCCAGATCTCTGTAAACTACAGGTTATAATCGGCAGGCTTCTGGACAAGTTGAAATCAGCCCTTTGATGACAGACATCTAGTTTCTCCTGAAACTCAAGAGGTCCTGAGGGTACTGGTTAGAAGAACTGCTCACCCAGCACCACTGCTGCCGACTTCACATGAAATCTTCATTGTCTCTTTTGCCAAAATATAAGCATTCACATTTTCCACCTATGGTATAAACAGTCCAGTCTCACAAGCCAAAAACATTTGAAGGGGCTGAAAACATAGTGCTCAAAGATGCACTGACTCCAATTAAATTTAAATTTGAAAAAGTTTATGCACTTGTTACTACACTGAAATAACATATTACTTGAGCTATACTGGGTATATCTCTCTCTAGAACTACAGATTATGTTTCCTGTCTCATTTTTTCATACTTTTCAGAAGAAATTTATATCATTTATAATTAGAAAAATATTTAACAAATAATTTTTTGGCAAGTATTTCCTACTCTAGTCCTTAGTGTCCCTACAGCTACAATTGATTAATCAATGAAAACCTGGCAGAAAATCAATGGTAGCTACACACACACGCACATACACACGCACACACACACACACACACACACACACACACACACAGAGACTGATTCCCAGAGACTTGGTAACTTTAAACCCAAAGTGATCACCTCATATATTTGAATCAATAAATTTGTCCATTCACAAAAATGCACTTTAAAAAGTAGAGAAGGCATGAATTTTTTGAACTGAAAAAAAAGTAACAAGAAGAAAACTAGCCACAATGTAAGAAAACACATTTCAGATTATTCCCTACAAAGCTAAAAAGACAGAATCAACCATGGAATGTTAATGAGACTCATGTTTTCCCCTTATTTGTATGCTGTGTGCCTGCTTGAAAAATTCCAAGTTATGAGAGGAAAACAACCCATCAGGCCCTCACAGTGACACCAAGCAGGCCATAGTAAAGAAACCATTTAAACGATTACACTCACAACCTGACAGAACTTAGAACTGTAAGCACAGGCATGATGGCAGAATTCTGTGACACAATATTTGTGATTTTGCAAAAGTATTGTCTTATTTCATGTGGAAGAAGTCATTATGAAAAACCTGAGGGCGTGCCAGCATATGCCTGTAATCCCAGTCCTCAAAGGCTGAGGCAGGGGAATCACCTCATGTTCGAGGTCACGCTGGCTTCCGTAGTGAGTTCAAAGCCCACCTGAACTCACAGTGAGATCCTGTCTCAAAAAACAAAACAAAACAAAAAAAATCATTGAAATTGTGTTTTGGTGGAAAAACCACAGCCATTTTTTCCATCTTTTTAGGCAGCATATAAAACTAAAGACCTTAGTATGTTGAATTCACAAGAAGCGGGTAAACTCTAAAAGTTATTACTACGAGATCTCTCGGGGCAAAAAAAGACAGCTGATTGTCAATTATGAATAGAAAGGTGTTGTTGCTTTTACACTTAAAATAACCTAGCTATATATTTATATAACAAATGACTTGCACCTTACAAATTACATTGTACAGAGAGTCACACGTCACTTAATCTTAAGGAAATTTGGTCATGTCCATACCTAAAGACTGGTAGAGCTCTGTCATTTTGGGATGATCCCAGCAAGTTGTTTGGGTCTCGTGGCTGAAATGCAAAAAGAGAGATTTTAGAATTTCCTAACGGCAGTGCACAAAATGGAAGATGAAAATGAATTGGTTTTCTTTTGAATCATTTGGCATCTTTACTTCCCAGGACTTTCAGAGATTGGTGAAGACTGTCTTCCAAGCAGAGGCTGCTGTCTTCATTTGCAAAGAGAAAAGCAATATGAGTATTATTTTGTTATAGAATTATTTTTTGCACCCACGAACGGAATGCACTTCTACTATAATAAACTGGCTTTGTTGTACAACCAATAATTGAAAATCAAAATTTGTTCACCCAACCAGTATGGAATATACAGAAAGGTCATTGACAATTGTTATTTGATTCTGTCAAAAAAGATACAGGACGTTATTTCCATAGCTATAAATCACCTCACTTCTCATTTGCTTTCACTGCCTAAACCCTGAACCATTACTCTTTCTCCTCCATATCCAGATATCATATCTGTGACCTCTGTCTCCCATTTCAGTTTCGGGGTTTCTCCAGCACCAGACACCATACATCATACCTTCGCTCTTCCATTACTTTTAAAATCTTAACTCAGTGTTCTCTTTACGAAGCTCCCTATATTTACTTGGGCCTGAATGAAGCATTCACAGTTCTACTCCATTTCTTGAAGGGCAGTTGCCTGCTATCAGCTCCTGCCACAAAAGGAACAAAAAACCTTTGTTCCTCATTCAATTACAGGAATAAACCCAGGAGAGATAACTAGGTATACTTTTCCTTACTTTGGCCCATCTACATAAATCACCATAGCATTGTATTTCCAGTTTTCAGGGATTACATGATAGACTTTGATAAAGTAAAATATAGCTTTAAGCAATATTCAGAGCCTATTCATAATCTTGGAGGGAGGTAGGAAAATGGAGAAATCACTTAAATTTGGGCACTTCAAGTGGACCAGAAAGTACAAAGGCCCCACGCAAAAAATAGGCATTTGTTGAGGCAACAATATCAAATGGCCTTAGAATAGGTTTTGAATTTTAGAGGACTCTGTACCCTACTGGCTATGAAATTTAGGGCAAGCATACTCACCTGCCTGGGGGAGTTAAAGGATTAGATGACTTAAGGAATTGACTGGCACCTTTTCGTGTTCAATCTGTGGTCCAGTTTGTTATCATGTGATCCCCAAATTACAGTCCATTAAACACAAACCCTGCATTAGTTGACTGCACTACAGATTTGGTTCCAACATCAGGCATGAGTCAAACGGAAGAAAGACCCTTCCTAGAGAGCAAAAACATCATCTTACTTTTAAAAACGTAAGTTAAAAAGAGAAACACTTAAAGTAGTTTGATAAATATAATCATAACTCTCACAATGACATACAGAAATTACCAAGTGGTATCTCATCAAAGACTATCCCTGTGATATTTACCATTTATTTGGTCACTGATCGGCAAAGCAGAGTAAAATCAATTTGTAAGAAAATGTTATTTGTGAAGCCCTGTCTTTCACTCTTTCAAATATGTTCTTTTCTGTTTTACTTCTCTGCAGAGAAAATTCACATGTGAGGAGTGGCACGGCTGCTTATCAGTTGAGGGAATTTAACTGAGTGATATGGAAGCATTAAGGAGAGCAGGAGATGTGGTCCAGGTTTTAGGTGGTTTTAGGAACACCCCCTGCCCCCACCACAGAGCCGATTTACGATCTACAGAAGGGGTAGGCAGGGCTGGTACTTTATATGCACAGCACAAGTAGGCTGCAGCTTGCAGCTACATGGAGAAAGCATTGCTCGGGTGTTTTTTAGCTCAGACAGTAATTGGGTACAATTCTACACACAGGTGCAGAGCAAGGAAAGGTTACTTCTATGGAGACCACCCTGAACTCAGGCCTCCCCATTTCCAGAAAGGTTTTCCAGATGTGAACACCTGGGAGGGAGCAGGGCAGAAGAGGGGGCAAGTGCCCCTGCCTACGCGTACTAGGCATGCTGTGTAATAACAGTAGCCCATCTCCAAGACTTTTGGAAGCCTGTAGCCTCTTCAGTGGATCTTCAGGAAACCATCTGGTGGAGCTGATAAACCTGGCCAGACACAGACCGGGAACCACCCTGAAAAGCCACCATCTGGAATGAGCCTCAAATCAGAGGAACATGGCAAAGAAATAAACTTGTACCAAATGCAGTTCTGGAAGGAATGAGAAGTGTGCAAACGATTTACAGGAGAACACACAGAGAGTTAATGGAGACGTCATGTAGCTTCTCACCTCTTAAAAAGAATACATCACTGCCAACACACCTACATTTCTATGCTTTAAGGACTTCATTTTGCAGTCTAAAAATTATGAAAAAGATTTTTACAAATTATTTTTGATCCATCAGTCCTTAATAGATCTGAAATTTCCTGTACTGAAAGATAGAAGAAATTGTCAGTTCCCAAGCTCATCACTTACTTGTATGTTAAGATACTAACCCTTGTACTAGCACCATTCTCATTATTTGTGATTCTGGGGAATTCAAATCACAATGAAATGAACTCCTCAATAATTCCACATGCCAGGCTTCTTTTCCCTTCTTCCCCTCTAACACACAAACCTTTTTATTTTTTAAGCAGTGCAAAATAACCAGAAAAAGAGATTTAGATTTCATCTTTGCTGTCTCAGTTTCACTTCAACTGCAAACCAGTACTAAGTGAAAGAAGAGAGCACAAGTGGAAAGAAAAAAGAATAAAAAGTAGAAAAATAATCTTTTAATCATTTAATGGTTAAAAAAATACTTGGCAGCACAGCTGAAAGGATTGCAAGTTTTTTTGCTAACTATATGATGAACCACATACTCACTTCACTGTAAGTGGGTGTTTTCTACCTGCACTAACTCCAAAGCCTTACTGGGACATATTTAACCCCCCCACAAAAATAGACAGGAAAGATGAATGGATGGGATGAAATGATAAGTACAAATCTGCATAACTTACATCTATAGTCTACCTTACAAGACATATACAGATTTTTTTTTTTTTGCTTTTGATCAGTGCAGATTTTACTTCTGTACTTCTTACTCCATGCCTGTCTTGAAAAACACAGTGGAGAATTCTCAGAAACTCCAAGAGTTATCTGCATTTACCTAGAATATGCAGACAATATAGGAAAATATAGAGTGCACTTCATTTTCCACCTTGGAAACCACCCCCCATGCCATGATCAGCCAAAAAGGAAATTCATAAACCTGTTCACACGTAATGGGTATGCTTTTGTTCAGCCTCCCTGAGAAAAACCATGTTCACTGTAGATCACAAGTCTGTATGTACATTAATGCAGATACTGGTTTCATAAATCATCTTTAAAATGCTCTCTCAGTCTTTAAAAAATGTTACTCATTTTGCCCTGCTGGTCCCAAAACCTGTTATCAGATATCCCTCTCTCAGCAGTCTTCATGCTAAGATTTCTTCTTTTTTCTATTTGTGCAAACCACAATCATCTCTTTTTTCCTTTTATATGAGATCTGACTGATGCAAATTAAAATATAAAATCACTGACTATGACAAAAGACCCCAGCAATACCTACTTGTCAATATTAAGAAATTAAAGCATTACTCTACTAAGCATAGGCCTGACCTAATTTCCTACCATACAATTTAAATTTTTCTCTCACCTTTAGTTTCAAGTAGTGTGCAAGGTTATTATAACCGCCTCAGATCTGTTCCTGCTGTCAGTGCTGGAATAGTCAGACTTATTGGAACTGCTTTTTTAGTTTCTTAAAAGCAAACATGAAACATTTATAAAAAGTAACAAATACCTACTGCTCTCACTGGGGAAATGGCAGTTGCCTAATTAAGTAAGATCTCTTCAGCCACTACTGTTATTTGGTACTGAAAATGTTCTGAACAGTTGCCTTTAAATATATCTATCTATTTATGTATCTATTTATAGATATAGATAATATATCTATATCTTTCCACTATATTAATATATCTATCTATATCTTTGTACTAATTCCCAGAGAGGAAACTAATGGCTACCCACTGATAGAGAAAGGTAGTGTTCTCTTGAGATTTGCAGAGGATTAGAGTTTGGCTTCATACATACTCTGGAGCCCATTGATCCATACACACAAATGATTTCCCTTTAATCTGGAAATCAGGCCCTTTTTCTAGAGGAACCCTGGCATTTGAAAACTGAATTGCTGAACTTGGCTTGCACTGCTGGAATAGTGGCACGGTGGGGATGCGAAAAATATATATTTAAGTTTCTGCTACTGTGGGGAGGGGGCTTAGGATGATGAGTGTCAATCCAAGCCTCAGAAATCCCATTCTAGTTCCCACTTCTTGTTCCCTGAGATATTTCACATTTTCTACTGCTTGGCTCAAGCCAGGGCAAAGATTATTGCCTTAGTGGCTGTTCCGGTTGTTACTTGTTCTCTGTTCTATTTGTTTTTCAAGGTTTATCTCCTACCCACCCTCAGCTTTAGTCAAAGCAATTTCACTTCAGGACCGTGTCCAAACCAAGATCAAACAATGATGACTGAAACCAATTCCACGGCGATGAAGGGTCAGAGACCTTTCATACAACTGTGTTGTTTCACTTGCTATTCTCCCTACTCCAAGAGCAACTGTCTCCTCCAGAGAGAAGCTTGGGAACAAGAAGACTCAAAATCTTGGCAAAAAAAAAACATGAAAGGATTATTGGGGGCGGGGGACAAGCAGTAATGACAGGGATAAAGAACCAGAGGGGCCAAGAGCTCATTGGTCAAAGAAGGATGTAGATTTCACTTAAGGACTTTCGTTCACCAGTTAAATCATGTGGATTTTTTTCACGGTACTAAAGAATTTTCTAATTAATACTATGCGTCCCTCAAGTGACTAAACCTCCTCAATGGAAGCTTCAAACTTAACTTCAAATATAACTGAAATAAGCAAAAGTCCTGCCCTTTTCATTGCCGTGTTCGGATTGGGAATGACAAACTTTCCTTAAAGACCAGCGGATGACTGGAGAAACCCTGGAGAAGGGCACCCCAGAAATGATTCCACACCCAAACCCAGAGGGCA